TCCCCACCTCCAGGGGCAACCCGGTCTGCCCGGACCACGCTTGTCTGTGGGTGCTGAAGTCTGAACCACTGCCCCTCTGGGGCGGTGCCCTTGGGCTGCACACAGCGCTAACGTCCTGGGGCTGACGGCCCCCCAACACCTGGCAGCGGCTCCGGGCCCCAAGGCTCTTCTCCGAGCTCAGCATTCCAGGTCTTTCTGTTCACATGACGAGGCTCCCAGGGCCTCCCCAGCTCCCCACACAGCTGAGAGCAGCTCACAGGCCCAGGCTCTGGGCACCATGCTCCAGCCCCGCAGCAGACCTCATTCTGCCCGTGCCTGCTGGAAAGCCCTCTCCCTGTCCTTCCACCAAACAAGAGCTCATTTGGCTCTGACACAAGATCCCAACACAGGTCCCCCATGCTCACCCCATTAGGCAAGTCTGGAGGCATGCAGGTGGCAATGGAGGTCACTAAGCCTACCTTGTAAGGTCTAGGACAGGGTATTATTATCCTCAGCACACACAGGAGGAGACAGGATTAGAAGTTCAGGGAGCTGCCTGGCTCACAGCGGGTGGCAAGGCCAGGACTCCTCCCAGTCGCTCCACCTGGAGCCGAGCGCTAACCAGCAGGGAGCACTGCCCCTAAGCACGCCCAGCTCTGAGTGCTCCAGTGGGAGGAGGGGGACCTGCCTGTCCAGACACAGCTACACTTGGAGGCTTACACATATCACAAGCTCCCTCCCCTCCCCCCCCCAAGGCTGGTAAGGGCGCCCCACTTTGCAGAAGCAGGAGCAGAGGCCCACAGAGGTTCCGGAACTTGCCTAAAGCTTTGTGCCGATGACCTGACAAGCATGGTGTGGAAAGTCCCCGGTGGGGGGGCAGAGTGTGAGCAACAGAGGATCTCCTTGGCAATCACGCTGCTCCGGGCCGACATTAAACCGCATTTGTGTCCTAGGAGCTCAGACGCCAGGCGCCGGGTGCGGGGTGCCAGGTCTGGTGGGGGCCCCCGCGGAGGGCAGCCACCCTGTTGGAGTGAGGGAATGAGAGCCAGCGCCTGCCTTCTGCCTTACCTGTGCAGAGTCAAGGGAGAAAACAGGAGACCGGGATGAGGCGCAGGGTCCAAGGGGTGCCACATCTTTGTCACACATGTCCCATCCCTAGAGCTCCCTCCCTACTGGCCCTGTGTCTACCTACAGGTCCCGGGGTGCTGCCAAGACAAAGCTCTGGGGAGGCCTTCCATTGCTGGCAGGCCTCCGTGGGGGTCCCTCCAGTCCTCCCCAGCCAGACTGTCCCGGCCCAGAGGGGCAGCAGGCACCGGGCAAGTGGCTAACTGACACAGGTGACCCCACAATGATCCCAGACCCATCATCACCAGCCCAGTGGCACCCAGAGACAGTCTCAAGACCACAAGGCTGCTGATGGATGGTCAGGATCAGGCTGGAGAGGGAGTGGAAAGGCTTACCTAACCCGCCCCATTGTCTTCATGACCTTTGCTCAGGCTAGGCCGGCACAGGCAAAGCCTTCCTTATTCCCAGACCCGCCTGGGGCCCTGAGCTGTGTGGCCCTTCTGAAAACCCTATTTCAGGCCAGCATGATCCGCCTTTTGTTGAAGCCCAGACCACCCCCGCTCCACCCTCCCTTTAAACCAACAAGAACACAAGCCAGAGAACAAACCCATCTTATTTTGAGAAGCTCAAATTTTTAATCCAAACTGTAAAAGTAAACAGGGTTATACAAAAGCTGGAGGTCCTGGTTTCCCCAAGTTAGCTGAAAGGGAGTGGTCCCAGCAGTGGGGGAGGAGCAGGGGCTGACTTGCACAGGGAAAAGCTGGGGGGCAGGAGGGTTGGTGGGGCAAGAAGGATGGGGGAAGGGCAAGAAAGAACTGCTGGGTATGCTTTTGTTTGAAAACTGCATCAGTTCAAGGGGGGGGCGGAACCTGACTTTCTGGTGTTTGGGGTTCACCTGCCTCAGTTTGCCCCACTGGGTCAAAGTAAAAAGCCCTGTAGTCCAGACTTTAATTGGCCCTCAGTCAAAATCAATGAGGGGTCGCAGGGGCAGGTCATTGGCATATGCATTCAGAGACACCCCCCCCAGCCGCCCAGTATAACACTGCCTAGAATACAGATGGGCCACCTCTCACCACAGTCCCCTGGGGCCTCCCAGGGCACCCAGCCAGCTAGGTACCGGGACGCTCCCAAGAGAGGACCACAGGGTCCCTGTTCCCCAGACTCATTGGCAGGTGCAGCCAGACATGGCTCAGACACAGACATGCAGATGAGCGGTCTGTCTAAACAGCAAACAGTTGTAAAGAACACTGAAGTCTGTTTGGCAAGCCCCCAAAAGGGTCCCTATCGGTTTTTCAGGAGGAGCCTTGGAAAAAATATTCTTGACAAGGATTTTGACAACTGCTGACACCTCCTGTGTGCAGACCATGACCTCCATCGACCTCTTTGGATAAAGGGGTACTCTGGGTTTACACAGCAGACAAGCAGAGAGGCCCAGTCAAGTCCAGTCACTTGCAGAGAGAAGAGGAGGAGCTAAGACTGGATTCGAACCCAAGATGGCCTGACCCCTGAGGGTAATGGGGTTATCAACCATCTGCTCAGTGGTCACTGATAAGGAAGTGACACTTCCCAGGGTGGGAGAAGCGCAAACCAGGGTTGGGAATCAGGAATAGGGAATCACCAGTCCTGCTGATTAACAGTATCAGCCAATATGACAACAGGCTAGAGACGCAAGCCAGCCCACCTCTGAGCAGGAGAGGGCCCAGGCGGCCCCACTGTGCCACTGGAACTGAGACCTTTCATCACAGTGGCCTTCCCAGGCAACACTCAGACCTCTGTGCCTCCACTCGCTTATCTGTAAAATGGGCACAATACTTCCTCCCAGGGCCCCTGTGAAGAGAGCCGAAACCAGGTCCACAAGGCACAAGCCCTGAGTCAGACTCCACTTTCCCTACCACCCAGGCTGAGGCTCACTTGTCTCTTCTCCAGCCTGCTCTTCACTCAACTTAAAACTCCAGGTCTGAGGACAGAAAAAGCATTTCTAAGAAAAGGGCCTTTCCTTGTTTCCAGGCACCCTATTCATGTTTAGAGAACATCTCAAGGCTACGCATGACTTTAAGAGATAAAACTAAACAACAGCAATCCTGTCTGTAACCGGAATCTGTGATAACGATGCTGAACAGGACTGTCTCAGCTTTGCCATCACAAAGTCTGTGGCAGTCCTGTCCCAAGTGTGCAGGGGACTTGGGGGGTGGGGGTGGGGCATGGACTCTGCAGGAAACCCTACACCTCAACCCCCTTCACCCACAGTGGGGTGGAAAACCTCAGGTCCAGCCCAGTCCTCCACCCTACATCCCTGAGCCAGACAGGGTCCACATCAAACGCCACAGAACTTCCCTGCAAACACGCTATGACTTCGGTGCCCTGCAGAGAACCACTCTCACCAAGTGTCATCAATGACACAGCTGAAATCTAGCAACATTTCATGTCCCAGCCACAGGACTGCAGCAGTCCCCTCCTTCGGACTGCACTTGGGGAAACTGAGGCTCAGAAATCTGACTCTCCTAAGGCCCCCCAGAACACTAGGCCAGAAAGGCTGGAACTGGGGCTTCTCACTCCCCAAACCCTGAAACCCCAACAAATTAAACCACCTAACTCTGAGCTACTGCCATTGGCCTTAAGGAGCCTGCAGTGGGAGGTGGGGTGGGTACAGAGTTACCAAAAGTAACCCGAGTTGGAGACTGTAGATTGCTAATCAGTAACAAAATATCCCTCTCAACCCAGTCCTGCCCTGAACTCACAGGTTGGGAAGGTAAATAAAAGAAATACTGTGCTACACTAACTAGTACCCCACCTCCGGGGTCCAGTTCCCATCCCAGCCTCCACCCCAAGGTGCCTGCAGAGGCCACTTGGCCACCAAACCAAAGACGGAGCGTCCCTCCCCTGCTTAGGCTGTCACTGTGGGGAAGAATAGTCATTTAAAGCCTAATACATTTTCTCTGAACTAGGAAAGCCTTTAAAAGAACCAGAAAGGGCTGTTTAATCTCCACCTTCAGGCAAATAGTTCAGGTAGTAGCAATTGCCACCAGAACTGGGAGCCAAGCCACCAAAAATGTGGAAAAACAGGGAGGCCACTAATCCCAGGGCTGGGAATACGATCCACTGCACAGCTCCACAGACCAAGCTGGGGGCGCCCTGCACGGGGCCAACAGTCACAGGTGTGGAAGACAGTAGCTGAGCTTTCCTGAGGCCAAAGGTCCTCCCACCCACACCCTGGCCACCCACCACCCTGGCACTTCCTGTATGTATGGCGACCAACAATTTATAAATCCCTTCAGAAGCTTTCTCTCCACCTCAAATCCCCGAGGGAGGGATCACTGTTTCCATTCTACAGGTAAGAAAAGTGAGGCACACAGAGGAACAAAGCCAAACACATTTAACATCCCTCTGGAAAGTCTTGGAACCTCCGTTGAGAAAGGTCTATCCACCCTGAGAAGTGCAGGACTAGTAACAAACCAGGAAGGTTGTTAGCTGGGGTCCCAACCTGTCTGCCTGTGCTCCTTCCCAATCCAGAGGCAGCTCCAGGAGGCCCAGGCTTCATCCCAGCCCCGGCGCACACGCGGATGCCGCTCTGGTTTGGGGCAGCCTGTTGCTCCCAATACGAGGGGAAATTCACTTGCGCTAAAAGGGCCTTTCTTTTTATCCCATGAGCTTCCGGCTCGCGGACAAGGATTTCCAGGCCGAGAGCAGGCGCCCCCAGGCAGCCGTGCAGTGCCGGCGCTAATACTGATAACCCCGCAAGGGAAAAACTTTTCTGGGGTCTGGTGCTCCCGCCCGGCTGCGGATTAGAAACTGGGCAGCGACCTGACCAGAAAAACACCACCCAAAGCCCTACTGCGGGTGGACGCGAGCCCTCCTAGCCTGGAGTCGGGATGCCAGCCGGAGGGGGGGTCCGGAGTGGCGGCCGCCAGCAGGGGAAAGGGCCGTGACCCGCGTTGCCCCGCCGGTGCTGTCCTTACCGTGCAGGCCATTGGGGATACTTCGGTGGTGCGGTGGCGCCGACAGGTCGTCCAGGGACCTGCGTGTGGCTACGATTTTGCCGTCGGGGACCTTGTGCGGCCCTGGGGGCAGCAGCGGAGGCGGAACGTGGTGGTGGTGGTCCGGGCTGCCGCCGCTGCCCGCGCTCGAGGTGCTGCTGCCGTCGCCCACGTCGCGGGCCCCCGTGCCCGCCGCGCCGCCCGCCAACGGCCCGCTCAGGCTGGCCTGGCTGTCGATGGAGCTGCGGGAGCCCGCGCCGCCGCCGCCGCTGCCGCCCGCGCTGCCCGCGCCCCCTGCCAGCGCCGCACGCTCCTCGTCCAGCAGCAGCACCAGCTCCTTGAGCTCCAGGTTTTCGCGCAGCAGGGCCTCCTGGCGCGCCTCGAGCTCGCGCAGCTTCTGCTGCGAACGGGCCACCTCGTGCCACACGGCCCCGGCCGCGTGGCGCCCGAAGCGCTGCCACTCGCGCGCCAGCTTGCGCCCCTTCTGCCGGTCGTCGTCGAGGAAGCAGCAAAGCTCGCGCAGCTCCTGGTTGTCGTCCTGCAGCCGCTGATTCACGTCCTTGAGGCCGCGGATCTCCAGCAGGTGCTGCTGCAGCCGCCGGTTCACGTCGCGCATCAGGCCGCCGTGCTCCAGCATGAGGCCCACCTTCTCGCCCTCGGCGCGCCGCAGCCGCCGCGCCAGCTCCTCCTTGCTCCAGCGCAGCAGCTCCTCGTCCGGCACCTGGCTTAGCTCCTCCGACGCCGCCGCCGCTGCCGCCGCCGGGGGCTTCGCCATGGCGGGGCCGTCACCGCGGCATCGCCCGCGCCCTCGCCCGGCCGGCGCTCCCCGTGCCGGGGCTGCGCTGGGCCGGTCCGCGCGCAGGCGGGGGGCAGGCGGAGGCGACTGTGGCCCGCCCCGCGCCGCCTTGAGTGTCCTCACACAGCAACCACCCGGGCCGCCGGGAACCCGCGCGTCTCGGGGTTCGGCGAGCGAGGATCGCTGCTGTGTCGGCGGCCGCCGTGCCGGGTGCTCTCCGGGCTCAGGCGAAGCAGGCGGAGGCCCGCCCCCGGCCTAGCTCCCGGAGCCCCAGCCGCCCCGCCCACTCCGGGCGGGGAAGAGGCGGGGCACCGCAGCCTGGCCCCGCCTCCAGGGGATCGAGGGGGCGGGCAGAGGAGCGGCTGAGCCCAGACATCCCCTACCACTGTGCGCTCGCCCGCCCGGCTCCCTGCCAGAGGCGCGTTAGAGCCGCGGTCCCGCCCTCCCGCCCGTCCGATTGGGCCTCTCCGGGGGTGTGTGGGAGGGGCGGGGCGCACGCGGGGGACGCCGCAGAGATGGTATAGTCCACCCCCTGGGCTTCCAGCACTCCCTCCTCCCCCCTGGCGGTTCAAGTTTCTGCGCCCGGCGGACGCGGCCTGGGCCAATCCCAGGGCTACAGGGCGCTTTTAAAATGCAGGTACAGTGCGGGGAGGGCGACGGTGGGAAAGGTAGGGCCGGGCTTCCCTTAAAGGAGACGCGCAGGAATGAGCACGGAGCCCCTTCCCCAGCCCACGTACCCCGCCCAACCTCGCCCCAAATAAACAAACGCCCTCGACCCGGAGGACAGGTCCCCTTCTCCCTCCCCGGGCATCAGAGTCCAGCGTAGTCTGAGCTACGACGAACAATAGGGCTCTGACACAGGGGCGGCTTTCCCGGCGGCGGGGCGGCTCTTTGTCCCCTACCCTGCCCCCGGCTCCACCGCCCCCATCTCCACCCCGGTCCCCTGCCAGAGCGCGCAGAGGGGACTGTGGCTCCGGCGTCGGCGCACCCGAAGGGTCAGAGCCTCACCAATCGTGTCCCGGAGCAACGTCCGTACCCTCTTCCCTGCCCCGAGGGGGCGAGGGCGCCGGGAACGTGCCCCCCTACCCCCGCCCTGAGCGGCTCTCAGAGCACAGCTCCCGGCCCACCCAGCCGCGCGTCCCAGGGACTCCGGGGAGAACCTCCGATTCTCCAGGTGGAGACCACTGGGGCCTTAAAGCCGGGGTTTCAGGGCGCGGAGCCAGCAGCAGAACCCCCTCCCCACCGGCAGCCTCGCCCCTTCCCACAGTCTGTGAGTCTGTCTCGTTATCTTCGTGTCCCCGAAGCGCATTTATGGCGCGTCTGCTGGGAGCAGAGCGGAGGGGGGCGTGTGTCCCCCGGGCCCCGCAAGGAGATAAAACCCGCGCACTCGACCGCGAGCGGCCACAGCCTGGAGCGCGCGCCCGCGCAGCAGCTGATGCCCCATTTACAGCCTCTCAGCCATTCATCAGACAACCATGAACCCAGCACCTACTCCAGCTAGGCCTGTTCTAGACCCCCGGGGGGTTCAGCAGAGGACGACAGCAGAAGCCATTGCTCTCTGAGGGAACTTTGCACTCTGGGGAGAGGGGAGGAGAGAAAATAAATTAGATAATTATGAGGTTGTAATAAGTGCTGTTCAGGGGATCAAAACAAGCTGCTGTCACAGAAAGTGACAATCAGTTACTTTGGACCCTGTGGTCAGGGATGACCTCTGAGGAGGTGCATCTAATCTGAGATCTGAGCAAAAAGGACAAAGATAAGAGGAAAGGGCACTCTAGGCAGAGCCCCAGGGGTGGCTTGTTAGTGGTCTATTCAAGGAAGGGCCCCGGGGCTGGGAATGGTCCGGGGAAGAGGGAGGAGAGATGAAGCCAGAGGGGACAGCTCACGCAGGATTCCAAGGCAGCTGGGAAAGCAGTGGGGGGCTAGCAGGAAGCGACATGACCTGGTTTGTCTTTTAAGAGGCTCACTCCAGACCATATGTGGAGAAGGGATTGGGGTTGGGGGGTGCACAAAGAGACCTCCTTCCCCACCTATCAGCCCCTCTCTACAGGTAGACAGGCAGATACAAGGTCAGGAGAGGGCAGAGGGAGGGGAAAGGATGAGCCTGAGGGGCATAGCTTCTTGGGGGGGGGGGGGGGTTAAGCCACAAGGAAGTGGAGGGTACCCCAGAAAAGGCACAGGTAAGCCAAGTTCTGGATTCCGGGTGGAGGGAGCATCCTTGTTAATGGAGCACTGTGCTCTGCTGGTTCAGCAGAGTTTGGGTTTGGAGGGAGAAAGGGTGTCAGCTCCTACCTGGGGAGGCTGTGGGTCTTTCTCACCCCAGGAAGCCAGAGTAAACAGCTCCCTAAAGCCCCCTCCTGTCTCACACACACACACTCCCAGAACAAAGCCTGTGCACGGAGCTGCTCCTGGGAGAGAGGTGAACACAGGATACAGGACTCACCAGAGAATTCACCGAGGGGTTAACACTACACTTGTGGGAACCTCCTCCCTTATTGCCTGCAGCTCCTGGTGGTTCTGGTGACCTGCATCTCAGTCCCCTGATCCTCCCTGGCCAGCAGCTTTAGCTGAACTTTCTGAGAGAAAAACAAAACCTCTATCTAGAAGAACTTGGTTGCATCATCTGCAGTCTGTGGAACCAAGGGTCCCCTGGCCAAGACCCATGGGAGAGTCCCTAAGATCCCCATGGTACAGCAAAGACAGTGCCAGACATGAGGCTATCGGGTGGCTTGAGAGAAAGTTGCTGCTCCAGCATGTGGCTGGACAGACTTGGGCAGACAGGATAGGACCACAGGAGGTTGACTGGGCCCAGAGCTGAGATAGACTCCTGAAGCAAAGCCAGAGCCACCCCTACCCCGACCCCCACCCCCACAAACCCACATCCCCCAGGGTCCAGCAAGAGGTGCCACGCCCCCTACAATACTCGTGGTCCAACAGACCCTGGACCCTGAGTCAGGATCTCAGAAATGTCAAGCGTCTTTGCTTGTTTAGCCCCGGATCATGAGAAGCCCTGCCTTGTCGTGAAAACTGAAACCAGGTCACGGACCTAACACAGGAATTCTCTAGGTGCCTGGTGAAAGTAGTTGTGAGGGTCTGTTGAAACATAAAGGTGCACCACCATTCATTCCTCTGTTCCCAGACTCACCCAGGCTGTGTGTGTCCATTTAAAGCCACACGGATGTTTTTGAGAGCCAGCTGGGGGAGAGCTGGTACAAAGTAGATAAAACCTTCCAAAACGCAGGGGCTATGAACCGGAGAAATGATAAGAGCACACGGGTGGTAAGTGATTGTCTCCCCACCAGGGGGGGAAGGGGCTCTCTTAGTCTCCTGCCTGGCTGGGGCCCTGAGCACAGACCCCAGCGCAGGCACCATCTGGTATTTGCTGAGTGAATGTGAGTCCCTCCAGTGCATGACCAATTAAATGTGAGCCCCTCGTTCTGAAGGTGAGGAAACAGCCCCAGAAGGTGCTATTCATTGCCCACGGTCACTTTCATTCTTTGGTTTACTGAACACAAAACCATTATATAAGTCTTTATCCATAAATGGATGTATATGTGCGATCATATACGCATTGTACATTGTACCACAGAGGCAAAGAGCAGAACACATCCTCTGGGAGCATCCTGAGACACAGACTGCTTCCTGGAGGAACTGACACTGGAGTTGAATCTTGAAGAACAAGTAGGAGTTTGCCAGATTGTTGGGAGGGAACAGCACAAGCCAAGGCCCAGAGGTGAGCGACAATGAGGTATGTGTGCAGACACGGCCATGCCTTATTGCTGGAGTATACGCGAGTGGAGCCGGGAGGCGGGGGCCTCTGTGAGCCATGGAGGAAGTGTGGCGTCTCCCTGGGCTCTGCTAGTTAACAGCAATAATAATAATCACCACCTCACACCACTCACCAGCACTCTGTGTGTGCCAGGGATTCTAAACTAGCCCTCACGCAATGGTTGTAACAACCCTAGGAGATGGTGTCATTAGCCTTCTGGATTGAACTTGGATTCCCGTAGGCTTAGTTGTTTGTGTCCACCAAGCTCGGATCACCGAGTGTGAACTTATGGGCAGTGTTCAGAGGCCTGTGGGTGCCCGAGGACTCTGGTGTGGCCAGCGAAGGGTCGGATATCTCTGTAGGTCAGGGAGGCAATAGCAGCTGACCAGGTCTGGGGCCTGGCTCTGGGGTTCCTTCCCTGCCCCCCAGGGGGCCTGAAACAGGAGATCACCACGTGGGGCAGGAAAGCTGCAACGCAGCAAGAAATCAGGGCCCGTGGGAAAGCGACCGCAGTTCTTATTGATAAAGGATGGTGTTGATTGAGCACCTCTGTGTACCCGGCACGTGCTAGGGCTTCACACAAGTTGTCTCGTCGAGCCCTCACGGCGGCCCTGTGAGGTAGCAGCCCTTTATCCCCATTTTACAAAGGGAAACTGAGGCTCGCACAGGCAAAGTCACTTGTCCAAGGTCACACAGCTAGCAAGTGAACAGGCTTGGATGTGGGTTTTGTTTGTTTGTTTTTAAGTTTATTTAGAAAGTCACAGAGGTGGGAGAACCGAGCCTTAGAAGAACTGGGCTCAGGAAACAAGGTACAGAAGCAAAAGAAGGGCCCTTGGGGCTCAGGAGAAAGAGAGGAAGGGAAACGCCCTGGGGGGTGGGGGTGGGAGGCGCTGGCCTGCTCCACAGGGACAGTCACCGGACTGGCTTAGATTTGAACCCAGGGCCCATTGAGCCCAAGAGTGTGCCTTAACCCCTAGATTACTGCCTCCTGCACACCAATTGCTCCTTCGCAAAGAGGAGGGCTGGGCCTTTCACTGTGACTCTCGATCTACCGCGCTGGGGGCCTGCCCTGTGCCAGGACCACCTGCTTCCTCCTGCTTCAGGCCTCCCATGTGTTTTTTTTAAAATATGTTTTTACTGATTTTTTTTTTTTTTAGAGAGAGAAAGATAGAAACATCGATGTGAGAGAGAAACATCAATCAGCTGCTTC